CGCTGCCAGTCGACGACTCGAATGGGCACCAGTAGATCATCCACTTTTCCGTGTTATGTGTAGGTGTAGCTCAGTGGATTTTGCTCGCTCTATGGATTAGTTGAGCATCACACTTTTAATCCGAGCTTCTCATGAAGAAGTTTGACCATCGTGTCAGTGGACTTCTTGCAGTAGGTTTGACATCCCGCGGAATCCAGTCGCCAACGGGTCCTGTCCATCGGTTGCTGTTCATACGTTGTATACGCACTACGTGTCCGGTCCACCTTGTCTTCGACAGTTTCGTGTACAGACGGCACCTTTGACTTTTGACCACTGACACAGGTCGGAGCTTCGGATCTCTTCCATTACTACTGTGACAAATTCTATTAGCATCGTCCTGTCGATTGCCCATTGAATAACGCTATGTGATCATTCATCCCGCATGCGCAGCGACCAGAATTCTCACCCATACGTCAAGTCAGGAACTATCATGAAATCGGAAAGGTAGGCACGGAGTCGGGTGTTCCATGTTCTATTCACTACAATGCAGATGCTCTCGAAAGCTCTTCAAGCAGCTTCTTTCCTTCTGTTCAACTCTGGAGCTAAGTCTTTCATCGCGCTCACTTTCCGAACTACATAGAAGTAACTGGAGCATTCGGAGGTATTCATCCGTTGAGCGTGAATTGGGCATACGTAATCAATCCGTCCTTCACAAACATCGTTTTTGTCAGATTTAGTAGAAGACCAATTTTTCGACAAGCTTTATCAGAGACGACAAGCATTTGTTCCGCTTGGCTAATGTTTTGATATTAAAAGAACGATATCACTAGCAAAGCGAAGATGGTGTAATTGTGGACCGTCAATTTTCACTCCAGTGTTATTCCATTCCAATGTCAGCATGACGTTTTCGAGAGTGGCGGTAGACAATTTTAGGTAGACAGTATCAGCATGCCTAAACTCTTTTCCGGCGTCGGATCGTTATGGAATGGTTATACATTGTTTGTGAAATTTCTATACAGCCCACGAAAAATTTTCATATAGTGAGTTGGGACCAATTGCCTGTCCAGAGTTTTCACGACTGCTTCAATCTCAGCTGAGTCAAAAGCCTTCTTTATATCAATGGAATTGAGACAGAGAGGTATTTTGTACTCTTACAATATTTGAATGAATCTTGTTATCGTGTGGATGTGGTCCATCGTACTGAATTCTTTTAGAAACCCTGCTTGCTCATATGGCTGTCCTCAGTTTAATGTTCTGTCAATCTCGTTTAGGTTGACTAGAGTGAAAAGTTTGCGGATGACAGTCAACAAGCAGATTGGCCGGTAGCTGCCGATATCGTGGAGGTCACCCTTCTTGAGCCTTAGAACGGTCTTGCTGGTCTTCCATTATGTAGGGACCTTGCATTCAGACAGGTAACGTGTGAAGAGCCGAGCCAGTGTATTACCGAGGACTCTGGCGGAAGGTTCCTCAGGTGTTCTGGTCTTATCCTGTCCGGACCTGGTGCTGTTCAATTTTTCACCGACGAAATGGCATGTCGGATTTCGGAAGGGAGAACAGGTGGTACAATATATCCATCCTCCATTATTTCATATGATGGAAGGTGGACGTGGATTTCGAAGAGATCTGAGTAGTATTGGTGAATGATTTTCTTCATTGTCTTTCTGGGAGCTGTAACTGTTCGGTCTGGGCATCGGAGTGCAATCATCTTGGTCGTGTAATTAGCGAAGCATCGGTGGGCTTTGCCAATGCTTTTCTCAGCTTCTGGAGCTTCGACTGGAGCAGTACACAGCAGTTAAATATAGGCAATGAGACGAGAAAACCCTTTGAAAGTTTACAAGAGTGATACCCTTGGCCAAGTTTTATTTTTTTATTCTTTTCATAGTAGTTTAGTGGTCGATGTACTGAGCGTAGAGAACACGACAGGACACGCGGCTTGACAATTGATGGTGTTGCCGAACTGATTAGCTCGGTAATGGCGCGTAACCGGCAGCTAGTGTCGCTGGCTGGAGATTCCAAATGGTGGATGGCAGATGTAGTGAATAAATTATCCCTTATTTAACTTAGATCTAGCAAATGAGAGATAGTAACACTGACAACTTATTCAATTCGCTTTAAATTCCCAAATAAGAGAATAAATGTGCTCCAATCCAGCAATTGCTGACCCATCGCACCAGTGTGTACATACTGTAGGTTGTAACTAATGGACCCTTCTGTGGCGTTTCATGCCGAGTCGTACCCACTTTTCCTATTGTTTTATTCGAAAGATATTGTTTCAAGGCGATTTTTCGCGTTTTTTTTTGCGAGACAAGTCCATTTCAATGTGGCACATTTAGCGGCTCCCGAAATCCGGAACCTTTGCCCTGAAATCCATTGACAAATTAGTTGATGAGACATCGCTTCGCATAATTTCGCACTTTAAGGTATTTTTGCACTTGCTGCACTTCCGCATTTCCATTTGGTTGTTGTTTTGCTGAGAAAACAAGCAAGTTCCTTTACTAGCTTATGATCTTTCGCTGAATTTCTTATTTTTCATTCACAGTTCCTGCTATGACCCGATTAAATAAACTGGTTCCTCTTTGGTCCACTGTAGATTCAAACGGTTTTACCTTGATAACTCGAAAGACCGAATTTCTATGAACCTCGGCATAGATAGTTGATATATTTATTTATGTGATCTTATAAACAGATCTTAAGCTGACGCGAGGTTGGTACAGGTCTTCGTTGTCGTTGTCGTTGTTTTTGATGTTATTGAACGATGGCTGACATTTCGGCGACTTCGCCTTCCTCAGAGCGTGGACGTACTTTATGTTAAAATACTTTTTATTATTCGGTGGAAAAGAAGGTTAAAGTATTAATGAAGATCAAACTTTCAAATAGACGCCATATTGAACAGAAAGGCCACTCACCGTGATGTTACGTGCGGGACTGGCCCACACGTAGTTCACGCGAGCAAGACACGCCCCGGGGTCAAAATATCATTTTGAAATAGGGCGCCAGATCACGCGTGTTAGTGAGGCATTCGTCCTTCCGGTTCATTTTTGGATTTTCGAAATTTATCCAAAACGCCTCAAGAGTTTTGCGCGTTGATGTTTTTGATTCCTGCGCTAGGATCCGCACATTCACTTCAAAATCAACGCCGTTGTGCTTTTGTGCCCTATGTGTTCCTAGAGGGGTGTTTAAACGGATTTTAGCTTTTCCATGTAGATGTTCTTTTATGCGGACACAAAGTGGTCTACCCGTTTCCCCGATATATTCCTCGCCGCATGCATTACATGAGATCAAGTATATTATACCTAAACTCATGCAATCCCCGTCTCTCCCGTTCGGACAGATCATACAGTTTTCTGAGCTGCATAAACGATCATAGAGACGGTTTCGAACTAACTGGCGGCGTATATAAAAAAAAATATTCTAACATAAAGTACGTCCAGGCTCTGAGGAAGGCGAAGTCGCCGAAACGTCAGCCATCGTTCAATAACATCAAAAACAACGACAAGGTTTTACCTTGGCTAATAAAGCTTTGCTTGGATTAAGTTAAGACATTACAAACGGCATAGTTAAAAACGCTCATTCATTTCTAAACAACCTAATATGATGGGGTCTATTTTGCTATGCGTTATTTTAGCATTCAGTGCTTAATAATATAATATTATATTATATATAATATAGTATATAATAAGGGGACGCTGATAGCGCAGGGCTGACAGGCGCGCTGTGATATACATGGGATCGATACTCGCTCCCTAACCCCACCAACCTTCCGATGACTTTGGGTCGGCAAACTGATACCAGACTTGTCTTGAGGAAAGCAGAACTGGCTCAATACATCGGTGAGCCACTACGAATCATTTTAAAGGCTAGATTTGCAATCAGTCACTTTTAATGATGAGTAGTGATGTCGAATGCATGGCATATCCTTCAGGGATTGGTCAACGCCGAGATCTTTCTACTTATATCCTTATTTTGTATTATATAGCACATATAGTACCTAATGCATTAATATCACATAGTAGGTACTTTGAATAAGATACAATCCACTAACGTAACCTGGTTCTAGTAGTCACTTTGTTCAAAATTCCCGACATTTTGGGGAGATTAAAAGGAGCTAAGTCATAGACATCTAGCTTTATGCCGTGGTCCTTTTATCCGTGGGCTACGAAAGACGTAGCATTGTCTGAATTCTTTTCCATTGTTGGGTGGAAGAAAAAAGATAAGCCTGTCTCTAATGCTGCTAGAAACTAACTTCCATTCTACCTCTCTACAATGAGACAATAAGGAATAGCTCCTTAAATCATTCAGCTAAGAAGAGGTTGGTAAAACATTCCATTCGGTTGACGTCTTCATGTTCTCTTCTTCTTCGGAGTTGGATTGATTATAGTCGATTTGTCTTCAGTGTCTATCTGACTGCTGACACAACTGTAATAAGAGCTATTTGTGTGCTTGAGCGAAGTACAGCTGGTTGAAATGTCTGGTCCTACTGCATATCAGTTTGAGTGTGCTGTCACTATCTGCCACAGCACCACTGACTTCTTCATTCGAAAATATGAAGGCAGTGCGCTGTGTTGCTCTTTCCCACATTTAAAATTGTCCTGCAAATTTTCCGCCTGATTGAACATTTGCTTTATGAAGGCAGTTCTCAATTAACTAATGTATATGCAAAAGATGCATATTTATGTTTGGGATCTCTACTATTTGCACCTAACGCAACTGATTTCTGCATTCGAAAGTGTGGCGTGGTGCCGCGCTTTTACCACATTCAAAACTATCATTTGCATGTTTTCTTTGTTTGAGCATCCTTTCATAGGAGTATCTCTTGATTAAATCCAAGCCATTTGTGTACATACATGTGTACATGCATATACGAGTGTATATACAACGTGTGTTTACATACATACATACATAAATACATTGTGTATGAATGCACATGTGTATGTGCACAGTTATACATGTATGTTTTTTTTATTAATCTGTTTACAGACCTACCATCTATGGCATTTTATCCGTTGTCTTCAACTCTTTTTATGGAAGTTCTCGGCCAAGTATCATTTAAAGTTATTCCAGATTGCAAAATGGGCACATTGCACACATTGGAGATTGAGAACTTTAAGTCATACCGTGGAAAGCATATAGTCGGGCCGTTCAAGAATTTTACAGCGATCATTGGTCCCAATGGCTCTGGTACGAACTTTCAGAGCTGATAACTTTCATCCCTGCTCGGTTTAATTGATTTTTTGCAGCATATGTGGTATTTTCCTTGCCGCTTGACCCCTAAGTCAACTTGCAGGTAAATCAAATCTGATGGACGCCATCTGTTTCGCGCTAGGAGAAAAAGAAGCGAAACTACGCGTTAAAAAATTAGGAGTAGGTTTCAGCTACTAAGTGGCTGGATTCGATTGGCCTATGTTATAATCTATCTTGTACCATGTGTTTACTTGAGCTTCTAGTGCTTACGTTTAGGATCTCATCCATGGAGCGCCCCTAGGGAAACAGGTGTCGGAAAGTTGTTCTGTAACATTAAATTACAAAGACGCTGATGGGCGTCAGAGAAGATTCTCTCGCTCAGCAACTTATGCCATTTCCGAGTACCGTGTGGATGGACAGGTCGTCCTTACCTTAATTTATTCAGTTATTCTCGATGTTTGTCTCGATTGTTCTTTCAAAGTAGTTTTCGAGCATATATGAGCACTTCAACGGGCGCGTGTGGCGCAGTGGTACGAGGCGCCCTGCAATACACATGGGATCGACCCCGCGCCCATGGCCCACCAAGCCTTCTATCCCACCGAGGTCGGGTAGCTGTTACCAGACTTGTCTAGGAGGACAGCAGCACAGGCTCGATACACTGTAAATCATTGTAAGCGCCAGATATGGATTCAACCACTTCCAACGTTACCTAATGAAGCTGAATTCATGGCGCATCGCTAAAGGATTGATCAACGCGGGAGCTCTATCCTTTATTTATCTTTTGTGTGCATTTCGTTTTTCATCCTTGTGCTTTCGATTTTCTTTTTCATGATACTTAACGAAAGTGAATGTTTGGAGGTCCCCACTAGGTTTTTCACATGTGTTGTTTTGACTTTCCACGGCATGAGTTGTTTTAAGCCGGATTTCTGTGCGCATCCACATTTACATTCTTCTATTTTCTAGTGGCTTTTATCGATTGTTTCTGTGTAAATTCCAGATTGTTTCTGTGCAACAATACAATCGTGAGATAGAGAGCGTTCAAATTTTCATCAGGGCGAAAAATTTCCTTGTTTATCAGGTAAGAGATTTGTACGCGCCTGTGTTTTCTTCTGATCATTCCTTCGCTAGCTACCTTATTTCTCGTAGCGTAGTTTCTACGTTTAGAAGAATTGAAATTGCAGGGTCAAATAGAGGCCATTGCTATGAAAAGCCCTAAGCAACGTGCCGCTCTGATCGAAGAAATCTCGAGGTGAACAACGTTGTTTTATTAGTTTCTACCACGACATTTCAGTCGGTTTGATTAACTCGCACGATTAGGCATGGAAATAAAGGCGGTGTTGAGAATATTTTGCAAGAATGTAGGCACTTTGTTGTCCAGTTGCAATAGAATGTTGATAGGTCCGGTGAGCTTCGAGAAGAATATGATCGGCTGAAAGCAAAATTGCAAGAAGCGGAAGACGACTTCCTAGAAAAGATGAAGAAGCGACGAACTATTGCCAAGGAGAAGAAAGAAGCCAAATTGGAAGTGGATGAGGCTGAGAATTATCAACAAATGAAAGATGATTTGATGAGTATTCACTAGAAACAGTTACTATAATTCGAACCGCTATCATTGCAGGCATGCTCTTTTCAGGCTGCCAAGCAGCGACTCCTTTTCCTACTTGAGTTGTTCCATTGCGAACACCGTGGTGAACAAGCCGAGGAGGAACTGGTTCGAAGGAGAAACGAGGTATCTGGACTGGAAACTCGAAAGGTTTGACTTATAAACTGTTTTTCCCTGTGTGTCTTGTTTCAAAAATATAACAATAGTTGCATGATTAGCTGTAAATCAGTTTTCTTTAGAATGATACTGAGGAGTTAGTATATGAGAAGCAGGAACTGGTAAAGAGAGTGCAGCGAGATCGTTTTAGATTGGCGAAGGAGATTGCTGAAAAGGTGAATTTTTTGCTGAACAATAATCTTAGGCTGACATTCATCTTTTTTTGTACAGCGTTATAGCGATTTCCACACTTTCCATGCAGTAATGTGATGTTTGTTTTGAGAATGTTGTTGTTGAACTCTATAACACAAGAACTACAAGGCAATGTATAGATTACTAGCAAAACTGATCTCGATCCACGTGATAATGGCTCTATTTGAAAATGACTGTAGGAAAGGGAAATTTCGCGTCAGCGTCCCCTATATGTTCAAGTGAAGCAGGAAGCAGTCCATGTGAAAACCAAGCTCGAAACTGGTAACAAAGCGTTGAACGCTGCACAGAAACTCGCTGAGAACACTGAGCAACTGGTGGAGATGCTTGAGAAGGCAGCAAGGTTTGTTTTGCGGTTATCCATGTCAGTTCTCATCTTACCAATTTTTGGTATGAGATGGAAAGAAATTTCGAACTTTGTCATCCTCTCTGCCACTGTTTCACAGGATTAATTAGCTCATATTGTCCCACGTTTCAGCACCATTTTCATTTTTTTTGTCTTATTGATCACCTTTTGTGCATTACTCGTGTAACACGTTTGCCTGTATTTTAACATTTTAAAAATATATAAGGTTTCAAGTGATGCATTGACAGTTTGTGGAACATCCATACCAATTGGCCTAATTTATCTGCAAATGAATGTTCCAAAGGTAGTTTGCATTGTGGCACTTAGTCGTTTAGGGATTGCTCCCTCAGGTGGTTTTTCACTCAACCTGATGATGATTGGGTGAACAAACATTCTATGTCTCCTATATGTGGTATATTCACAGTAGCACAAGACTCAACGCATCTTCTGCTCACTTCTTCTTAGCTATCTCGTCGTCAATGGTACTGGTCTGTTTCGGACATGGTGATATCTGCGAAGAATATTACGTAATCCATAAGTCGTTTCCATTTGCGAATACGGATCGATGGTTAACATGAGCCAAAAAGACGTCTGTCCGAAGCTTAGGTCGCTCAACGGAACGCTTACATTTTCTTGTACCTTACTGTTCTATTCGTTCATATTTCACCTGTTATTATCGGTTCAGTACACCTCTGCTTTGTCATCGAGTGTATTCTTTCAGACCTTCGAGGTAGAAAGAGCTCCAAAGTTTTGAACAACGCATTTTGCCTAAACGTCGTGAGTTATAATTAAGCCTAAGACGATTAAAGCTCAGTGTTGATAATGTGCTAGAACTCTTAGCGTAGGTGAAGTCGTGATGGAGTGCTGGGAAGACGGTTAAATGAGTCGAACGGGAGCTGTTGGATCTCTTAATTGTTCAGTGGCTTCGAAAGGCCCGAATGCGGCCCATGCTCTTATCCTTATTTTGTATAATTCCTTTTTCATATTCATATGATGGAATATACCAAATCAAATACAAGCTTGTCTCATATTGATCTTTGTAACCTGCTCGCAAAGGAGGAAAACTCTATTACCTTTGGAACGTTTTTCTTGAAAGTCACCAACAAACTATAGAGTTTTCTAAGGTGGTACACATTGGCAGGCATTCATAGCCTATAATCCTCCAAATCCCATCAACATCAGAGAACATTCTTATAGGAAACAGTTTTCGTTCAAGTGGCGTCAAAACTCAACATGGAAGGAACCAAATGTGAATATGGTTGAGATGGAGCATAAAGCTTCCTTTTCAAATTGTATTCCTAGTGAAAGCCTTTTCACATGATCAGCATCACAGGACTTTCTTCGTTGATTGCCTAGTTACTTTCAGTACCCATTGTTTGGTGAATTGGATGATGGCAAGGGTACCTTTATGAAATGTTTAAAAGTAGTTTTGAAAAACGTAGAGCTCATTGTCATAGTCAGCAGTTAATGTCGGTTATGAAAACATTAATACTGTCTGCTTCCATGATTGAAGACAATTAGTCCGCTCTTTATGAATGTAGCTAATTATGCAGCCTTAGCATTAGTGTTGTGGTCCATATTCATTACACGTGATTAAGGGAGCTGGAAAGGAAAAAGGCTGAGTGTGAGGCTGAACTGGAGTCGCAAACCCAGAAACTGGATCTGCATCTTAACGAAGATCAGGCGAGCACACTTAATTATTTCCTCAGTTTAACGAGTAACGCTTTAAGGCCACTTTCTAAAGTTTTTCTTGTAGTTTTTTTAATGCACAACAGTACGTTATCACATTTTCGCGGCACTTTCTAGATAAATGAGTACGTTTCACTGAAACGTGAAGCTGGAAAAAAGTCAGCGATGTTCGACATCCAGTTGGATACCTTGAGACGAGAACATGAAACTGATCGAAGGTAACCTTAGTGGGGCCGTGTGTGATGTAGCCTATTGAGCCTGCCTTCGCTAGTATAAATGAAGTCCTAAGAAGTGTGTACATGTAGTGTTTCAGGAGAGTCACTGTTTCAATGTTCTGTTGTGCACAGTGTAGCCTTCCTCTGAAACTCCATTCTGATTGAATTGTTATGACGTGTTTCAGCTGCAAAGTGAATGAAGAGCGTCGCAGGATGGAGTGGCAAGAGAAGGTAAAAAACAAGAATCAGGAAATTGAGCGACTCAAAAAGCAGGTAATGCTTTTTTGTTTGGCAAATGAGCTATTGCTTAGAAAAGTTATTGTTTTTTCTACTTTTTTGCCGTGTAGATAGAATATCTTGCTGAACACGCTGAACAACAAACGGAGGTATTCCTTGGTGAGAAAGCGAACCTATTAGCAATAGAAAAGCAAGTCAGAGAAAGCAAGGAGAAGCTCGAGAAGGTATTTATCACCTTAAGAAAAACTTTTCAGTTTTTTTCCTTATTTTCTTAGTAGTTATTTCTAGCTATCCGTTGAGCTAAGTGAGGTTAACAAGCAACTTTCGGATGCATCATGTGATTCAGTAGAATCTGAAAGAGCGCGACAACGCAACGAAGCCATTCAGAACCTCAGACGAGTATTCCCGGATAAAGTAAGGATATGCATTGTCATCTTTACTCGCGCCAAGTTCGAAGTTATGCGTTATTTCCTAGCACGGATTATTTAATGTTGTGATTTCCTTAGTATTGATTCTAACCTTTTTTAAATACTTACACTAATCTTGCGCTTACGAATTGTATTTTCTTTACACCTATTTTAAGTTTCTTGAAACACTACTCTGAACCAAACCTAATTACCTTGTTTTTGCTACATTTTTGGTGGTGATACGAATTACGGGCGACTGGATAGCTGTGTTTAAGCCGCTGTCTTTGACTTTAGTGAAATTTCCGCACATGTTGTTTTAGAGTGAGAGCCTTATGGCTTAACATTTTTGCGGCAAACAGGTTTGCTCAATGTACGAAAAGGCTTTGTTCGATCAGACAAAGAGACCTCTGCAACTTGCCTTTGGTAATTCGCGTACAGAGGTTACCACTTGTAAAGTATCTTGCATTTTTAGTATTTGGTCGAGAATTGCAGGAATTTGAAACGAGAGCACAACAGAAATGCTGGGTTGAATTATGCTTATGTTGCCGTGCTCCTATATTTTTTTTTTTTAATTTGTTCCCGTTCTAGATTTATGGTCGGCTCGTTGATCTCTGCCAACCAATCCATAAGCGGTTCACCTTGGCTGTTACAAAAGTGTTGCAAAAACACATGATGAGTATTGTTTGTGACTCGGAGGACACCGCAAGGGATGCTATTATGTACCTGAAGGTGATGTTGTTTGTCGTCTGATCTTTTTTCAAGTACAAGTGGTATTTACTATGTTGTTGTCGCGCTTATCTAATTACCTGCCGTCTTGTGTATGTCTTCATGTGAATTTTTGAGCTTCAAAATCATTATCATTGTTGCACAGGAGCAACGCTATCCTTCCGAAACTTTTCTTCCCTACAAAGGCCTTGTCGTTTCTCCTGTTAGCGAGAAGCTACGAGAATTGACATATACGAAACGGGTGAAACTCGTGTATGACGTTATTCGAGTCAGTTATCTCTATCTTTGTTCTTCTCAGTAGCATTAGTGGTTCCAATTACTGTTGTAGTGTAGCCACCCAGCTGCAAGGAAGGCTTTGCTATTTGCGAGTGGTAATGCTGTTATATGTGAAACCGCCGAAGATGCACGAACTCTTGCGTATGGAACTACCGGAGGCGATAGGTTGTCCTTTACTGAACGAAAATTCCTAATCTAATTTGCACAAAGACCCTGATGAACAACGACTACTATGTAATGGTTAAAGACAGATTTGAAGTTTAAGGTACAACGCTGTAACTCTGGATGGTACGATGTTTCAAGAGAACGGTGTGATAGGAGGTGGCGGCAGCGAACTGCAAATTCGTGCGAAAAAATGGGAGGAGAACGCTTTAAGGTGCATTTTACAGTTATAGTTTTTAATTAGATTCCGTAGCCATGGACTCATTCACGTCGTTCTGTTATTTTTCTGCTATATCTTTTTCAGGAAACTACATGAACGCCGTGTACAGCTTTTGGAGGAAAGCAACACGTTACATAGAACTCGGAAGAATGAAATGGACGTCGAGATGCAGAGGTGGCGGTGCCATGATTTTTTTTCCAGCACAGAGAAAAACCATTCGGCACTTGTTTAAGAGTTCTTTTGAAAAGTTTATTTTCTGAACCAAAAGCAAGTTCCAGGCACAAGCTCACTTCTGTAGAATCTCGCCTCCGAAACATGCGGCTCGAGAAGACTAAGTGTGAAACTGACGCTCTTAATAAGCTCGTATTGGAACTTGGATCGCTTGAATCCGAACTCAGTGTGATTGCTGTAAATATTTTATGATCGCTATGTTTGTTTCCAGTTTTCTGAATAACCACACTCTAACACGATTTCAGCCAAAAATAAAGGAAATAGAAGAACGCATGGTAAAACGACGGAGGGAGATAGAAAAACTGGAAGAGAAGAGTCATGCCATTGCTGATGACGTAAGTGCTTCATTCTGTGTTCAATGAAACATTTTTTGAGCGCCCTATCGGTTTAGGTCTTTGCCAGTTTTTGCTGCAAAATTGGGATAAAAAATATTCGTGAATATGAGGAACGCGAAATGAGGTGCATTAATTTTTGCATTCTTTATTGACACATTGATTTTCGGATTTGTTCAGATTTCATCAGGAAAGAATTGGCCGAATACGAGAAATCGAGAACGAGCTTGACCGAATTCGTGGCGAAGTTGGATACCTGCGTTCCGAGGGCAGAAACAAGAAGGTGAAGCAAGAAGCAGACAAGGTGTGCCACTCACATTAACACTTCTTTGTGCCATGCATTTTATCACCACTGTAGCTTCCGAGGGCTTATTTATACCAACAGGTTATGTAGAAATTACAGCTGAAGAAACTGGAGACAGAATTGGATATATCGATGAAGAAAGAAATGGAGGAAGGTAAAAAGTTGAGTCGTTTGGAGAGAGAAATGGAGGAGTTGAATGTTGGAGCAATACAGAAGAAGATCGAACAAAAACAATATGAATCCGAAATTAGCGCTGTGAAGAATAAAGTTCAGGTGGGCACATTCAGTTTATTTGCATTTCACTTCATTCGCAATGGCGCTTGACCGAGATTCTTCAAGCAGGTTTTCTGATTATCGGTTTTTGCTTTGTCCTTTGGTTCCAATTGACGACATTGACGAATAACATTCGGCTCAAAATTTGTCCTTTTCAGTTGGCACAGCGTGATGTGACAAGTGCTGAAAAAGCAGTGTTGGCTTTAGAAAGCGTAGTTACTAGAAAACAAGCTGAAAAACATGCCTTACTACGTGCAGCAAGGATAAATCATATCCAGATCCCACTGGTATCGGGAAGCTTGTCTGATATCGATCCCGAAGAAGAAGACGGTGAATTGATTCTCCAACTATCTTGTTGTGATTAGTTTTCTTTTAGAAAGTATTTCAGAAGATGGGGACGGAACTCGGTCTTCCAGCTCCACCAATCCCTCTCAGGAACAAACTAAGCGAGAATCGAAAATAAAGGTCAACTACAGACACTTGCCAGAAGATTTGAAAGAGGTTGGGTTTTGGTTTCTCTCTTTGCACATCCTTTTCTTTTTCCAGAGGGTTTTTAAATTTTAATTTCAGATGAATGATGAGGAAGACTTTAAGAGACACGTAGAAAGAATGAATAAGGAAATAAACGAAGCTCAGACGGCGTTATCACGTCTAAGTGCACCTAACCTTAGAGCAACTCAGAGGTGCAGTTCTGTTTTTCGAGTTATTTCTAATGTTCTTGTTAACACTCTCACGAAGTGTGACCTCAAGAGTGACAACATAGTTTTATAGGAGTTGGCGTGATGACTCCTATAGCTCTTTTTTTTCTTGGTTGTTTATTCTATCACTCACAACTACTTCAATGCACTTTTTGTTGTTAATTTATTGTTTGTAGAACACAGGTGATTTATTGGATGTTGGTCAGGCAAAGCTCCGCTCTAGATCTACTTACTTGGATACATGGATGGGCTTTCCTCTCTGGTTTTGCATGTTCCACCATAATCTCCATTTTTCGGAGTTTTGCGGGCTTAGCCTTTCTGGTTTCCCGGAGCCTCGAGGTCAGTTTGGCCAAAGCCTGCCCCAGGTCTTCATTACCACAAGCAGCCGCAGCCCTTGTGGATTAGAGGGAGATTTGCCACCAGGCAGCTGTGATACCAGAATGGTGGTGGATCCTGGAACTGGTTTACTTCTAGCTAGGCTTCTGAAGTAAACGCCAGACTCTTTCTTAGCTTGGGAGAGCCTGCCAGGGGGATGAACCCCACCCCTGTACATCGCAACCCAACATCCGGAAACAGCTCCCGGCCACGATGGGGCGGTAAACCGTTGGAAGTATTCTAGAATTACACAAAAAAAAAACTCGAAAGACCGACTTTCTATAAACCTCGGCATAGATGGTTGATATATTTATTTATGTGATCTTATAAACTGATCTTCTTAAGCTGACGCGAGGTTGGTATAGATCTTCGTTGTCGTT